TTGCAACTTTTTAAAAATGTTTGGAATTTGCATTTGTTGGACAAATGTTCCATTACTTCAAAACCTGAGGATGACCATTGAAAACGGATGAAAATGTTTAACGATTAGTTTAATACTATTTAATAAATAACATTGTTTTTTATTATTATACATTGTCTTAACTAATTTTTTTTTTTAACATTAAATAAATAAGTATTTGCTAATTTAAGTATTTTTTCCTCTTATGTTGTGTTTACTTCTCTTGTTTGTTTACAAAATTTTATTAATTAACTTATATTTTGTTTTTATTATTAATGTTTGTGAGATATTTAATTACTAGGGATCTGGCATTATATATTGAATTTTCAAGTGAAAAAAAGTGTGATTTTATTGCTGGTCAGATTGATCTGCGATGAGTGTAATTGAAGCCGACTAAATAATCTATAGTTTGGTAGTGCCTTGTGTTATCTACTCAATTAGATCAAAACATATTAACATATTTATTTAAATCTAAGACGCACCTTAATTTCTACACACTCACTTATGTATTTTTGTAATAGAAAACTTGAGACAAATTTGTCAACAGAATCAGTATAACAGAATAAATCATTTATTGCTGTATTCTATGGTATTGAAATTAGAACCTCATCATTTACCAATAGTGATGATGTTATTCAACATTAATGTTAGTTGTCATTTCCTGAGTATTAATTTTAGTTTTAGTAGTGCTAATCAACACTGGATTTGATGTTTATGTCTTCCCATATACAGTCATACTGAGTGCTGTTTAAGGCATTGGAGCTGCAACATTTCTTGAAAAAGTGTTGCATAACTTTTTCTGGGATTTTCATTCCAAATACTTACAAAATTATTATAATAGACTAATGAAATTGAGCTAAGTTAGTTCTTAAATTTCTTCTATTACTGATAAAAGTATTGAAATGACATAATGGAATTAGGGACAGAAGCATAAGATGCATGACACTAGAGGTTGCTAATTATGACATATTACATCAATTCTAAGATGCACTGTATTTTCAGAGATACAGTACTAAAACCTGAAAGAATTGCATCTTACATTCAAGTAAATATGGTATTTTGACGTATTTTTTAAAAATAAAGAAAATGGTGATTATAGATTTCTGATAAATACTTAAACTTATTATTTATTGGATAAATTAGCATGTATACATATAAATGCATTTAAATAATTATACGATTTTTATTTTTATTTAATAGCCTTATGACAGATTTTGAAGAAATTGTCATTCCTGACAGTGAAGAAGATTATAGTAATGATAGTGTAGAAGAAATAACAATACCTGAATATGACAACAAATATGGAGGAAAACAGTGTCCATGTGTTTGTCATTCTCACACCACTGATCTTAGAATGCAGAATAGAATTAGGCATTGTATTCAATGTGGAANTAGAAATTTAAAATAATGTTTAGTTACAAATAATTTCATGTTAAATTTTATTTGTTTGATATAAACTTTTTTTAAATAAGTTTATTTTGCTTCATATACAGTACCCTTATCCATAGTATTAAATAAATGTTAAACAAAAAGCTCCAAGCTCCAAACATTAGAAATTTGTAAATCTGAATACATAATTTTGCATGCTTGTGCCTGCTAAAGTGTCATGAATCATCTTTGTGTCAACTCTTTTCCCATTCTCCCATTCACACAGTCATGGTATAAAATCCACAATATAAATAATCCCATGCTCATGGTATTGCTATACTACTACTATATATCGTGCTTTATTTAACTTGTTTTTTTCTTGCTTAATATGGCTGTAAATTTTTATATTAAACTTTATTTTAGATATATATGTAAAAAGATGTGTATTATATAGGGTTTGCATTATTTTAAGCATCCAGGGTGCAATTCTAGGGTTGCCAACTTCCTTCTACAAAAGAGGACATTGTCGGACATTACACAAGTGAAAAAAACAACGTGTTCCTAAGATAACGATATGAAATAATTTAATGCATATAATATATGAAATAGATTACACTTTTGTTGACTGTAAAATTATAAAATGTAAAATAGAAAATAAGTAAGTTAATAACATTGAGTTTAAAAACTGTTACTACACATCCTAATTTAGTCTCTAAATTTTATTTGCTTGTCTGATTATGATTAATAGTAATGACTTTCTCTCTATTACTCTATTGCGTGATGAAGTTGAAACTATTAGTAAAATTACAAAAATATTAAAATTCCTGTTAAAAGGCTTCATCACATTATATTTTGATAAAATTTGTGAGGTGTACACTTTAGTTTGTGAAACTTTTTCATCAGTGTGGACTTCTATTATTATTTTATAAAATATTTTCATTAAAATGAAACTATTAGTTTATATTAAGAAAATAAAATATTGGTGTGACATCTGCAAAATTATTTCAGATATAATAAAGTAAAATTAAACAATTAAAATTGTACTGAAAAGGTGGACATTTTTTATGAGAGGAGGACAGGAAGACAATATAGTTCAATGGAGGATAGTTTGCAACTCTAACCTATTCCTCATGACTGTAGATATGAGGGAATACTGTATTTAATAATCAGAAATTGTTAAAGTATATAATATGAATAGTATAAATATAACTATCTAATGAAATAAATGTATCAATGTTGTTACTATATTACTAAGAACAAAATACAAAATTACATTTTTAAATTATTCATAAATTTTTGCCATAATTGAATAGTTTAGTGCCTCTCAAAATAATACAAATGCAGGAAAAAATGTAAGAACAAGACAGATTTTAAAATGGAAATAATACTTTCTATAATCTTTATTTTTAACTTAGCTGCTATTTCAATATTTTTATTGTTATACCAGGTGATTGTAATAGAACCCTATCTATTTAATGATGTCTAGAGAGAGATATTTAACAATGTAAATGCAACCAAATCTGATATGATGACATTTCAGGTTATTCAGAAGTGTTTTCTTAAAAAGTTAGTACTAAAATATTATTATGGCATTTTTAATGATGCAAGCTAAAGCATTCTCAGATGGAGATACTGATCAATGTGGTCTCTATTCTGAAGATGTAAAACTTGGCTGTTTCTCAGTGTTTAACAGTTAACTATAATTGATCCTCTCTGATTTTTTTCATATGCCCATATGGATTATTGTCTTTTTGCAAAATTTTGAATATGTTTTCAATAAATCACACTTTAAGTGTCCCACAGCCAAAAATTACATGATTAAGATCTGAGAATGAAGTGGCCAAATAGTAGAAAATGCACAATTAATCACATATTGGTGAATTGTTGCAGGAACTGTTGTATGTGAATGGTGCTCCATCTTGTTTAAAAGTAAATGACTCAAAGCATTGTTGCTTTTTGTCATACCTCCAACTTCAAGTGCTGAGCATCTCTCAGTAGTTTTGAAGCATCATAGAGTATATCACATGGATATTGGGACTAGTTTCTTTGAAGAAGAATGGTCCAATGTCAAATGTGGCTGTGAATCCATACTAGACAGTAACTTTAGGCTAGTTCAGTGGAATCTGCTGAAAAATATTGATGTTTACCCTGTGATAGTTAAGGTTATTCATTGTTTCACTGAAGTGAAATTGTGCTTTATTGCTTCTCGGGATCTTTCATTGTTACAACACATCCTCTTTAATTCTGGCAAGGAATGTCAATGCAATGGTTAGTTGACTTCCTGTCACAGCATGTAAGTACTGTTTGTAGCTGATCTTATATGGATAAAAAGGCACCAACTTTTCAGCATCTTCCAAACCTGTATCATAGGATAGACTCACTCAACTGTTGTGGCACTATGTGCACTACAGGAGACTGCAGCATTATTCATTGACTAAGCCAACAGTACATTAAATTAAAAAAAGTTAGCATTTACCAAAAGTAAAAGTGAAGGTTCCATCCTTATAGGTTTTCAAAAGTGTGTGCTAAAACTTCCATTGTTTTGAGCTGATCCTAGGGGCAGGCAACCCCTAGTATTGTGACATGGCAATGGTGGATAAAGTTGAAAAAAACTTGACAATTTCAAAATGTGGTGGAAAAGGCTACAAAATCCCCAAAATTACAAAAAGACATTATACCATATTTTGGTTTAAAAAAGATCTATCCTGAAATTTTTCCAAAATATAATTTTTTAAGGCTTATAAAAGCTTTTCATTTATGCTCAATATGACCTGAAACATGTCTTTGAAGTCAGGAGTTCAACAAGACTCATAAAAAATGACTTTTCCTTAAAATCCAATGCCTAATAATTATTAAAGTTAATACTTAACTTCTGATATCTAGTTGAATTAATTGATAATTAATTATTAACTTGACCCAAAAGTAGCCTGATAATTTTACAAAGATCATTTGACTTAATTAAAATTGGGTTATGAAGGTTTAAATTTATTATTCATTGACTGTTCAACAACTGTAATATCATTTCACAATTCATTGAAGATGTTAAGTTTGAGCTCTTGACCAAGTTGAACTTCTAGATGTAGTTTTCCTTGAATCAAATGGTCATTCTCTGGAAAGCTTACGGAATCAATGGTCTTGAGGAATAAATTCTTATGGTTGCAAAATTTTCTAAGTGTAGTTGCAGCCTTGAAGTGTGTTCATAAAATAGTGTTACAAAAATGTGCATTCTGGCAAAGTGATGACCATCATAGCTAATAACAAAGATATTCAGCAGTTGTGGTCATTTCTATACTCACTTGTCAGAAAATGGCTGCAATATGCATGCTTATACAAAGGAAACTACTTTTTTATTACTTGCAGCACCAAAAGTGACATAATAGTAAGTTTTGGTACAAATTTTTTTATGGATGTCTTCTGCATTTTCTGAAATTCACATACTGTATAAGATTTGGTTGCATTTGTACTGCTAAATATCTCTCTTGGCAATGTTGAATATAATGATACTTTAATTACAATAACATGGTAAATTTATTAAAAAATAATAATAACAATAATAAATTTCTGAAAGATGAAAATAAACCTAATCATTAGAATCTTTGTTTTTTTAATTTCAGTTTTATTCAAGTTAATCATTTGAAATAATTTATGAAGATTGGATTACAAAGATATTTAAGCCTTGCCAATGATTAGTTGATATTGAGAAGTTTGAGGTAATGTAATCACTTAAAATCATTTTAAATGGTAAATTGATTTTGTTCAAAGTAATTCAAAATCCAACCAAATGTTAAATATTGATTAAAAACTTTATTTATTAAATTCATTTTACAGATATTTTAAAATAAATTAGTTGAGTTGTTGTTATACAATATCCAGTTTGATGATGGAAAAAAATGTGAATTAGCAGTTCATAAATAATTGAGGAGTGACGATGATAAAAATCACAAAAGGATGAAAAAAGAGAGTGAATGAAATATACATAAATTAGAATTGTGAAGTTTAAAAATATTACTTTTTGGAACAAAAAATGCTATTGCATGGATGGTAATTTTATTAGACTGTTAAATGATATTCACTGATATTTCTTTCTTTAGAATGAATGATCATTTCAAAGTTGATTCTTTTCGTTATAATTGTATTTAATATAACCTAAAGTTATGATATTTAGGTTATGATAGTAAATTTTTAAAAAATTTACTATTATATTGTATAGGATTGCCAACTATCTTCCATTTAATTGTATTATCTTCCCATTCTCCTTTTATCAATAATATCTTCCTTTTGAATACAATTTTAATTGTTTGTTTTTGTTTAATTTATAACAGTAAAATTAAACAAAAACAAACAATTAAAATTGTTTGTTTTTGTTCACTGAAATATTATAGCAGATGACATTTTCCAATAGTTTTTCTTATTCTGAAGTTGTTCTATTAATTGGATAAGCAAATAAAATTTAGGGGTTCAATTAGGGTGGCATAGTTCTGTAGTAATGATTTTAACATTGAGTTTAAAATTCTATTTATTGTTTGTTTAGTGTTTCATAATTTACAGTTAGTCAATAAATATGTATAACAAACTATTTTGTTATAAATGTCTTCCATTGTACAATGTCTATTCTTTTCTTTTTCTTGTGTGTATAAATGTAAGAAAGTTGGCAATCCTTATACTATAATTTAGGAGTAGATGTAGAGAATGCTGCCATCTTGTATTACATTTAATAATTAATTATTAGAGAGCAATTTTATTTTCACAAAGTTAACTGTTACTGAAGTGGATATTTTTAGTAAGGTTTTAATAGAGTTTTGACTGATCAATGAAAACACAAATTTTTAATGAGATTGACAATTATGCTAACCTTTGTCTGTGTTTGTTCAGAAACCAAACAAGTGATTACTTCATGTTTTCCTTATCATGCTTGTCTTAAAATTTGCTAAAATAAGTTTGAATTATATATGTATATAAACACGTTTTTATTTTAAATAAATGACTTTAATTAATTGAACAAATGTTTTTGATGACCATCATTTAATGGTCATCTTCAGGTCACATAACAAAGATATAGAATAGAATAAGATTTTATAATAAACCACCAAATATATAAAATACAATAAACTTTTAAAATATTAAAAACATAATTTTTTTACATTTTTTCAGATGAAAAAAGTTATTTTCGTACTACCAAAAAAGTTAATCCAGTCTTGAAGATAAAACAATTAAATTTTTTATTTAAAAGATAAAAATACATAATTTCTTGTACTTGAATAAATTTTATTAGTTACCATTTTATTTAATGGAAATAGTTGCTTATTTTTAACATATGGTTTCATATATAACAATCAATCAATACTGGTTGCTAATAACTGATTAAAACAATAATACAGATTCACATATTATTTTTATATCAAAGTAAATTATGAAGAGAGATTATCCTAGTAATGAAATTTAAAATTAGAAATGATGTTTTTATAATTGATTAACTTGACTGTTTTAATTACAGATTACGTTTTCTGGTTCATACATATCCATATGAAGTGAATAATGCTCAATAATAGCTATGCCTTGGCCATTCAAAAAGAGAGAAACTTCACTTCAAGAGCATCCTTTGATGGAAATTGTGTCATATCCTGATGAACACGACGAAGATGACAGACATCTTGTAGAAACAACTGTCAATGAATATGATGATAATACTGCTGATACCACTGTTCTGGTGAAAAATTCCAGGAATACAAATCATTCTGAAAATTATCCAAAGAAAAGATGGATTCGTTGCTTGAAAAATTGGCCATTGTATCAAGGTTTAGCATTGTCTTCAGCATCTAGTATATTTTTTTCTTTGTCATCTGTGATAGTTAAATATTTAAAAGACATACACCCAGGAGAATTAGCATGTTTACGTTTTGTTGGTATTTTGATTTTTTCTTTACCCATAGTTATAGCCAGCAAAAAAGAACCATTTGGGCCAAAAAATCTTCGTAATCTATTAATAGTACGAGGCTTTGTCGGTTCCACCAGTTTATTCTTGAGATTTTATGCTCTGCATTATTTACCCATAGCTGATGCTTCAGTAATTATATTTAGTGTTCCTGTATTTGTTTCTGTTCTGGCAAGAATCTTTTTAAAAGAACTGTGTGGCATTTTTCATGTTATAACTGTTATTTTGACATTAATTGGAATTATTCTCATTACCAAATTACCTCTATTGATCGTCAATGAAATTAGTAATTATAATGTTGATCATTTATGGGGTGTTATGGCTGCTCTTCTATCCACATTTTTTGGAGCAAGTGTATATATTGTCATCAGAAAAGTGAAAGGAGTACATTTTGCTGTGATCATGTTTAATTTTGGGTGGGTTGCAATTATTGAAACAACGATACTGACAGCAGTCATTGGTAAATTTACTCTCCCAAAATGTGGATGGGAGCAGTGGCTTATTGTTGCCCTTGGCATATTCAGTTTTTTGGGACAGACTTGTCTCACACTGGCTTTAAAATCGGAGCAAGCCGGACCCGTTTCCGTCGTCAGAGCAGCTGCGGATATCGTTTTAGCTTTTATATGGCAAATAGTATTTTTTGACGAGGTGCCAGATAAATATAGCATTAGTGGTGCCTTGCTTGTTTCATCTTGCGTGTTGTTAATCAGTTTGAGAAAGTGGATTCTTTCTCTTCCGGAACATTCATCATTTCGAAAAAAGGCACACTTCTTAACAATTTAATTTAATTACCTGGGCATTATATAAATAGCTAGCTATATAAGTCATTACAAGTTTTTCAGTAGTATTACATTTACTAAAGGAACTTGTATTCACTATCTAGTATTTATTTTTCATTTTATTTATGCATTATAAACTATTTTAAAAAGTTATTATTTTAAAGTGTATGTTTGATTAAAAATTGAAAAAATATCTGTGATATGAAAGCATGGCAAAGTTCTCAGGAGGACATATTTTTAAAAATTACACAAAGGAAAGTATTTGATTTTAATAAACGAAAAAACACACACTCAACTCAAACCATATAATTATTAAAACAGTTTTGGCATTATAGTACTTTAATATTACGAAAAATACAGCTTTGCTGGTAATTTTTACATTGTGTTAACCACTCAGCAGTGAGGGATTAATATATACATCAAATTCTTTTGGGGGTATCGCCAAAAACTAGCCTAAAACTACTGTGAAAAAAAAATTTCACATAAAAAATAAATTATGTATCAATAGAAAAAAGATTTTTGTTTAATAGACATAACTGTTTACAAAATCTTTTTTCGAAATAGTAATGAGAAAAAATGCGTGGAAAAATACTCTAAAAATTTTGCACGTTTATTCTCCACTACTAAAGGTTAACGTCTTCAGGCAATGAAGAACATCCTGTCTGAAGAAGACATTAATATAATGTCAAAAGTAGTATAGCTGTTTTTTGTTAACATTAAACTATTATAATGTTGAAAGACTGTTTTTAATAATTATATTANTTTGCACGTTTATTCTCCACTACTAAAGGTTAACGTCTTCAGGCAATGAAGAACATCCTGTCTGAAGAAGACATTAATATAATGTCAAAAGTAGTATAGCTGTTTTTTGTTAACATTAAACTATTATAATGTTGAAAGACTGTTTTTAATAATTATATTATATTGTACTGTATTTGATTTTAAATCTTATTTTCAACTAAATTATTTATTAATATATTTTGACAATGTTTGGAAATAAATACTTGATACAAATCTCAGAAAAACAAAGATATGAAAAAGACACTACTTATAAACATCTCTTTAAAATAATTATTATTTAACTAAATTTAAAGTAAACTTTATTAATTAAATTATATTCATGTTTATTTATAAAATCATACTTTATTTACCACTTGAGGAGGTGTGTTACGAATGTTGAACGGAATATTTTCTAGTCAAATCACTTGTATTTTTAAATTTTTTTTCCCTCGCTATATTTCATATATTGCAAGTAAATTATTTGTATGTTTAGCTTTATAACATAGTTATTTCTTTTTTGCTATATATTACGCATGAAATATACTTCACACTTCTAACATTTTATAAAATACAGTAAATACATAGTTTATTCTTATACTTATTTTTAAAAAATTTAAAAAAATCCAAAAATATGTAAGAAATTAATTACACATTGCAATTTTAACAATGTATGATCATTATTTTGAATATAATGACTTGATTTAGCTTTCATATATGATATGTATATGTATATAAATATATAAAAATTATATTCAAAATATTGATTTTATATAAATATTTACCACGTTAAACAATTCTAATCTAACATACTTTTGCTCATCTATATTCCATAATAATTGTAGAAGTTTATTAGTAAATTTATTATATAAAAATATAACAAAATGAACTTGCAATAACTTAATTATAAGTCTGTGTTTCTGTAGTTTATTTATTTAATTTATATATTTAGTTTTTAGGTAAACAAATTTTTAAAAGTAGTTTTTCATGTTATAGAAATGTCTATAATAATTAATTTTGAAGTAAACTTATTGTCAGAATTATATCATTTTAAATATAGATCAATGATAAATTATGATAATTTAAATTTAATTTTTAGTTTAAGTACAAGTATAGAATTTAAGAAAAATGACTCGTGAATCAGAACTTCAGAAAATTTGAGGGTTTTCTAGAAATGGAGTCGTAATTTGATTAAGTTAAGAAGGAATTGAGTAAGTTAAACTGTTGAATGTTTTTATATGAAGTAATTTGTAATTTTTCTATCAAAAATACTTTATTATAAATCATTACACAATTTTAAATATATAAAAGTCAAAAGAAACTTTAAAATTTTTGTATTATTGAATAGTATGGAAAGTCAGGGTATAGAGAGTTAAGACTGGTATTCTTAAATTATAGGTCACAAAATGAAAATAAATTCTTAAATACTGTATTTACGGATCTTAAATATTCTTATAAATATAAATAAATCTAAAACTACAAATAAATATTCATTAAATTAATCATATTTAAAGAATTCAAATTATTCCATAACTTTACTATACATTTTGAATTATGAATGTCATAAAGTTTTTAATTTAAATTATTACATGACTTATGAACTCCATAAATGTAATAAAAAGGTGCAAATCTGAATAATGAAATCACTAAGACTTAATCTAACATTGAATTATACAGTTCAGATAATTTATTATATGTTTTCTTATTCTTTGTATTACAAGATAAAGCAATTTAATATGTTGTATTAATGGTGGATACAGAAGTACCCAAAGGGGGCTAACTCAAAAATTTAAACTATTTGAATAATTAATAGATATGTTTTTATTAACATGTGCATGACAATTGTATTGTAGTCAGTTATATAAACCATATTTGCTAGTATAAGTGTTTTAAAAATATCTTGAAAGTTCATATAAATAAATTTTAATTGTTTTGTTGTTGAGGAGGGTTTAAGTCCCTGTAGTAGTCTTCTTGTTTCTGCCACTGTGTTGTATTAATTTATGTATGAATTTATAAATTAATTTTCTGAATGTGTCTTTTTATACAAGTTCAGTTAATTATTTTTCAGTAATTTCTGATTTATTTAAACTACTATATTTTTAAACCTTAATATTTTCTAGTTCATTAATTTAAATTATACAATCAATTCAAAATAATGATTAATTAAGGATATATTACATTTCAAACTTACTAAAAATTAATCTTTTGAATATTTATAATTTTTATATTGATGGTTACAATAATAATCCATTATTATTAAGGTAAATTTTTGTAGTTTATGATAAAACTGTTTCAGGGTAATTGTCAAAACATTTAAATTGATTTTAGTCATTTAGTGTTATTTGATATTAACTAGTCATTTAGGTTGGATAAAATTCATACTGCTTGCAATCAATGGATAAGATGCTTATCATATGAACTTTTCATATACCATAATATAATTGATTTCCTATTCATTCAAGAGTTGCAACTAAAATTGCATAGGTTCAAAAAATGTAGATCCATGATTTTTGAATGCTAGAATAAAATGGAACACATTTGCAAAGTTCCTGGTGACAGCAATATAATAGTGACCAACAAAAAAATGATCTATAAATCTATCATTATATTTAGCATTAGGCATTTATTTAGGTTGTATTGCTTTTTACTAAGGCTAATAGAAAACAAATTCTCAGAGCAACAATGTTGGTTTTGATGGATTTTCCACATCAAGTTGAAGTATATTGTTTATATTATTTATGGTATTAATAATCTAAATCAGTAATGAGCAACTATTTCTGAATGTGGGCTGCATGCAATTTTTCTTATGGAGTTACAGGCTTTAACCAAGCAAAGTATCAACATACTCCATAACTGCAAGCATCAACATAGTATACTAGGTGCTAAAATAATATATGCTAATGATATGCAAACTAGTAGTATATCTTAGTTTTTTCAAGTTTAGTTTGAATGTTCATCACAAATATCAGCTTAATTAGGGTGTTGCATAATGGTACATGGCAGAAAACGGGAAAATAAAATTACATTGCCAAAGCCCAGGGGTCATATATTAGAACCAAGCAGGCTACAGGTTGCTCATAACTGATCTGAATCAGTCATTTTAAATAAGTATATATTATATTTTTTTAAAATTTAAGAGATGTAATTATTCTCTAAACAAATCATATATCAGACCAATCAAAAGTGAAGTTAAAGATTAAAAATCGAATAACAAAATGTATTTGTACAATATTGAAGACAAGATACAAAAAAAAATTTGTAGTCCTTATTATTGTCAATTCACAGTCAGTGGAATACAATTAACATTAGTGGAGCCTATCTTTCTCGTCTCCACCTATATGTGTGCAAATTTAAAAGTTTCTGTGTTGTCAGAATTTTATAAATATCCTACAACGTAGAAACTTTTAAACAATTAACATATGTGTAGGTGGAGAATAGCTTATAAAGAAAAGTAGATTCTGCTAGTGTTAATTGTGTTTTGGTGATTGTAAATGAACAATTGTAAGACTTAAAAATATATTTTATTTTTTATCTTCGATATTGTACAGAAGCGCAGTGTTTATTATTTAGTTTTATTAATATGCAATATTGATTTATTTTTTATGCAATTTTATGTTTGTGTAAATTTAAATTATTTTCATAAATAACATTTTAAAATATGCTTTTCAGAATTCGAATTTTTAAAAATTCTCTTATAAAAAGATTTTACGGGATTTCAATTTGTTTGTACAGGATTACATTCTATATATTAAAAATTAAAAATAACTCTGTTAGTGCAGAATAAATATTTAAACTATAAGAGTTTATTCTTCGTGATAGCTTAATGTACAGTACACACGTTTGACATTGTTATAACAAAACTTTGAATATAAAAGATGTCACAGAAATGACTCTAAACAACTGTATGTTTAGAATATATAATAAATAGTGTAACTTTTATGCATTTATTTTTTGATTAATATATTTGCTTTAAAAACATATTTTAATTGATGCAGATGTATGATTTTATTAAAATAAAATTCATACATCAGTATAGAATGTTTCATTAACATGAAAAAAATTTACTAACATGAATATATAATCTATACAATTTTCTAATATAATTATCTAAATGATTAATAATAAAAATTATGCAATTGTTTCGTATTTTCTTGTTTTTAATTATATTAATTTAATAACATTGTTTTATTAACATTTCTACATTTCTTTCAATAGTTTAATAATTATTAATGATGGAAGATTTTGAAATATAAAGTGTAATGCTTGGTTTTTTATCACTTTAGTTATAGATAAAAAGTTCAGAATTTGCATAATTTACGCACAAGAAGTCACAGAACAGCATGAAAGACATAAATCATACATAGCTGTAGCTACTTTAAAATAAAATCAAAAGAATTTTTGCTCTAAACTTCATTAAAAAATAGTGATATTTAAAAAATTTTATACTTAATAACTTAAATTTAAATATTAATTATATATACAAAATGGATAACAATTTAATTAATTGGTTAATTTTACCAACAGATAAACAATAATTCAAAAAGTTAAATATATTATTTTTTATTAAAAATTTTGTTTTTAGTTTCAGTTTTATGGAATTAATTGCAAATTTCCTCTCTCTTATTTAATTGAACAATGTTCTTTGGGTAAGTTTTATTGATTTAAAATATTTATTGTACCATTTAATATGGATTATTTTTAGACATTAGGTTGAGTATGTTCAATGTTTTCAAAATAACAATATTCTAGCTGCAGAGGATTATTTTAAAATGAGAAAACATTTCGAAGATTGTATTAATATTCTGTATTATGTTTTATAACTGAATTATTTCAAAATGTTCCCATTACATTTTCTGTCTTATGGATATTTATAAAATTCCAACATCACAGAAATGAAAATATATATTTTCTCATTTCTGTAATAATTCATATATTATGTATTTTTGTATCCTAAATTAAAAATTCATCCTAAAA